TTTGGATCATGGGAGGTTTGCTCTGCCCTCACCTTTCCTCTCTAGGAGAACAACTTCGGTCGCTGCTGACTCGCCGGCAGCGTTGTAGGCTGAGAGATAGACCCTCCTGGTCCCCTCCGGGGCAGAGAAGTTGCAGTGGGTGTGGGTGGTGTTGCAGACGGTGGGAGGGTCCCTGCCCCTCCTCCTTGGGCTCAGGGTGACGCGGTACCCCAGCACTCGCCCATTCGCCTCCTGCCGCCGCAGGGCCTGGGCACAGGCAGCCTGTGCAGGGGTGCTTGGTCCCCAGGGCAATGCCCTGGCAGCCCCCATGTCCCTGCTGCCCACCCGTGCTCACCTTCCAGCGCAGCTGCACCTCCAGCTGCCCACCTGTCCTGGCCAGACGGGTGCTCCACCACGCGTCCAGCTTCCCCGTGGGGGCTGCAGCAGGACAAGAGTGGGCACGGAGCTAGAAGGGCCAGCGTGGCCACGCCACCATGGCTGTGCCACCTGGCCCAGCAGAAGGGATCCCCCTGGGTGACTCTGCACCCACCTTTCTCGTGGGTGGTGTAATTCCTGCCTGGGCTCCACTCACTCCAGTAGCCTCGTGCCGAGCTCCGCCGGCACCGCATCTGGAAGTGGTACCACGTGCCGAAGAGGAAGCCGCAGCGCTGCGCGGTGCCCGCCTGGCCCACGATGCCAGTGACCTGGTGGCAGCCGGAGCGAGGAGGTACTGACATGCCAGGGGCACCTCGCTGTGCCCCCCGCAGGGGCACCCTGCCTCTCCCATTGCAGGAAGCCTGGCCGAGGTCGGAGCTCAGGGCAGGTCCCGGCTCTGCTCGCTCACCCTCCCTGATCCTGCTGCCCCAGCATCACTCACCAGAGCCCAGGCAGGGTTCTCAGGCACCCGGTAGCGCAGCTCACACTCCAGCTCCATGTGCGCGGTGCTGCGGGACAGCTCCCAGGCCAGGGTGATGCAGTCGGTCTGGAAGGGGATGGACTGGATGCTCTGCAGGGCCGGTGGGTCCAGCTTGGCTGGAGGAAGAGCCAGGGAGAGAGCTGGAGTGGTGCCTCAGTGGGCTCTGGGCTACAGCCACACACAGAGCCATAGTTAATGCCATAAGCCACAGCCAGGACCCCGAGGTGAAAATGGGGAGAAACTGCCCCAAAATATTTAAGAGAATGGCTCGTAGCCGGGGATGGGAGCTGGTGCCCGCCCGGGACGATGCTCAGGAGCACAGCACTCATGCTGCCCTGCAGCCCGGGCTGTGGGCTGGGATAATACCATACACAGGGAAAAAGAGATCCCACAGGAGACAGGATCTGGTACACAGCAAGGAGAGCCACACATTTGGGTCTGCCAGGGGGCCAGAGCCCAGTGGGGCCATGGGAGGGCTCAGCTGGTTCACAGGCAGCCCTTCCCCAGCTGTGGAGCAGGAGGAGGAGTTGCACTGTCTAGGAAGGTTCCTTTTATAAATAGTTTATAGGAGCTGGGTGTATTATTAATAGACCTCCTGAATAAATGGGCAATCAATTGCTGCAGAGAGTTGTAGAGTGCAGCAGGTCAACTGGCAGCTCATAACCCGCTGGCACAGGCTGCTCAGGCTGTACCGTGGCTTTGGCACCTCTTCATCCAGCCAAGCCGTTTGTCATGGGAACCTGCCTGTAAAATATGACCTAAAGCCCCAACAGGCTTTAACCGTGCTCGAATGCCCCTCTCACTGTTGATGAGCTTCCCCAGCCCACGACCTCGGCGCGAGGCCGGCAGCTCCCACTGCCACTCACCCACGTCCATGGGGTCGATGCGGAGCCGCTCCGACTCGGCTGTGCCCAGCGCGTTGGTGACCGACACCCAGAGCTCCATTTCCCGGTAGAGCTGGAGCAGCTGGCGCGGCACCGTGCAGGCCCTGCTGCCGCCTTGCGGGGTGCAGCCCGTCACTGCTGGGGCCCTGCTCCTGAGGCAGCAAGAGGGGTGGACTGTTGGGGGGGTGCTCCAGCAGGGGATGAGGTTTGCCATGTGCTTTGGCAGGGGGTGAGGGCCAGGAGAGGTGGTTGGGGGTCAAACACCGGTGACTGTGTCTCCCCCCGAGGCTTACTGGGCACACTGCAGTGTTACATTGGTGGGGAGGAGGCTGTCGGTTCCCTGCTCCCACTGGCACGTCAACCCATAGGTGCTGAGGTTCAGGACACAGCTGAGGTTGAAGGACTTTGCAGGCGGGTCTGGGAGAGAACGGGGGAGGGGAAGAGCCTGAGCACAGTGCCTGTCCTGGCCGCACAGAGCCCCACTGCCATGCCACCACCCCCCAAACCTGCCCTGACCACCAGGCACTGCTGCACCAGGACATGGCCAGGCACAGTCCCCAGAGCTTCCATCAGCCCTGGCTGCTGCTCCCACCCCGGTGGCTTTCCCAGCTCACCCCAGGCAGGCACACATCTCGGGGAGGAGCTGTGCAAGCCCCAGTGCCAGGCTGCACCTCTGTCCTGTGAATGCACTTGTGACCCACGGAGGCAGCAGACTTACAGCCCGCCCTGATCTCAGCCATGCCCACGCGCTGCTTGGCCCCGTTCCACTCCACCAAGCACCACAGCTTGGCCCGCGTGCGGTTGAACTGGGCCAGGGTGAGGTTGGACACCTCCGTTCCCCCTGGGCCCCGGTGCTGGCTCCCAGCCATGGTCTCATTGTCCAGCATCCAGGAGATCCAGACCTTCCCCTGCTCCAAGCCATGGCAGAACTCGAGCCGGATGGTGCAGGATGCCATGATGGCCGAGCCAAGGGGCACCACGGATGAGCCCACGGCCACCGAGGCACAGCGCAGGGTCCCTGCAGGCAGGAAAAAAGTGTCACATGCAGGGCACAGCCGTGACAAAGCCATCTCAGCTCCTCAGCACACAGACAGGACAGAGGGATGGGCGCTTCTTCCCTTCAACGGGCCCCCCAGCTGCTGGAGAGGAAGAGCTGGGCGTTGGGCAAGGCTGCTGGCACGGGCTGGGGCCCCACCTGGCCGCGCCCA